GGCAAAATCTCACGCACTACGATGAACGGTTCGAGTCTTAGTTCGAAAAAATTTCTGGGGTGTTACAACTTACTATTATGATTTAATAGATGCATCTATGGTATGGTCACATGTGCATTTATATCAACTTACAAATTAGTTTTTGTAAGGTTGTTTGCTCAAATTGTCAAACTAAGAGCACAATTCCAAACTATAAAATTATGGTGATAATACTGGTTGGTTCAGAAATTGTTTGCCTCCAACTATAGCTCGACCATTGATTATGAGAGCAAATCTCTCAAATAAAATTTGGTATGAGATGAGTTTATTTAACATGTATGCATCATGCCAACAAGGTTATCCCATCACAATTGGTTCAGGGTCAGGAACTAAAAAATTTTCCATATAAAAATTTGATGTGTGCACATATGATTTTATTACTCCACCACGCACAAAGATGGATCTCCAAATAAGGTTGGGGGTAAATGTTAGATTTCCTAACATTAGGGGAGATGTGTTTAACAACTGAAAATTATGTGTGAGTTGAATTATCTAGATCCTCGTTAAAAAAAATGTGAACTTGAAGTTCAAGAGGTAATTCATTTGCAAAATTATTTGCCGACCCAATATTTTAATTAAGTTGCAAATGCTCCAATAAATAAGCCTTGAAGGACAGTCTATGGTACGCCAGCAACGTGATAGACCAATCGATTCCAAATGTAACATTCCTTGAGGAAGGAGAGGAGCAAATTATCAAAATGGTCATGATAATGATGTAAGTGCTTTGAAAGAGCACTATGACATAACACTTCATAAAACCTTGTCAAAGGTTTAGGTACCTGAAAATGATGAAAAATGAAGAGATCTCGATAAGTTATGTCGAGTTGGAATCGAATTAAAATGACCGTCTACGGTATCTTTGATATGAAGTAGCACTCAATGCTATAAGTGATTGCGAGGATCTTAAATTCGAATTTGTCATATAATGTGGACAGATAAATGATTGGCCAAATAAAATGTACTATTCAAGTATATTTTGTTTCACTTAGAAAAGTAATGTTTTTGAACTTATAGTTCATAGATCAAAATATATGTCAGTGGGGTACAAATGAATCATTGTGCGAAAGTATAACCATAAGATATAAAGTACGGTTTGTGCCTCGGGGCATAAATAGTTTTCGCAGAAGTCCTGACATTATTAAATGGAGATATGTTCTCGAGTGCTGGACGCAATGAGACTTATTTCAGTCTGACAATAGATGAAATACTTGAATATGTATAATGATTAATTATCATGTCTTACTAGACGATAAATGTTATATGAAAATTCTTGAAGGATTTAAAAGGTCTTAAAAACAGTTTCATTGAGTACCCAATGGTTCTGAGATTGCTTAACACAAAGAAAGAATCTTTTCAACCTCATGAAAATGATTAAAAATGTCATGTATTAATGCAATTGGTGCACTTACAGATTACTGGTTATGCAAATGCTAGAAGATTATTTCATATACATAACGAAAGTCATGTGAAATGATTGTCATACTATCATTCAAGTTATGACAAGAAACTAACAAAGCAAGTGACTCAACACACAGAAGATGTGTAATTTTCTTTGAAAAGAAAAGATGAGCTTCAATAAAATTGAAATGATCAATCTCCTAGTCAGAAATGATTTGGATATGTAGATGCAAAATATTTATTTGATCCGCATAAAGCTCGATCGCAAATGGACTATTTATTTACATATGAAGGGGCAACAATATCTTGACATTCAAAGAATCAAACATTGGTAACCACTTCTTCAAATCATGCATAAATAATACTGATCTATGAAGTAAATCGGGAATGTGTTTGGTTGGGATCATGATCTATCATATTAAGAAAATATGTGATTTTCCTTTGGCAAAGGATATTCCAGCCACCATATACGAAAATAATATTGAAGGAAGGATACAATCAAAGGAGATCGGACAAAGCATATTTCACCAAAAGTCTTTTTCACATGATCTTCAACAAAATGGTGAGATAGAGGTTCAAAGATCCATTCAAGTGATAATTTTGTAAACTTATTCACTAAAGATTGCCAACATCAATATTTGAGAAGTTGTAATACAAGATTGGAATACATTGTTTCCGAGATATCAAGTAAAGTTTTATTAAGGGGAGAGAAATACGTGTTGTACTCTATCTCTTAACCATGGTTTTATCCCAATTGGGTTTCTCTAGTAAGATTTTTAACGAGGCAGCATTCAAAGCGTATAAAAAGATATATGTACTCTTTTTTCTTTACTAGGATTTTTTCCCACGGGGTTTTTTCCTAGTAAGGTTTTAACAAGGCATATTATCTATGTACATCCAATGGGGAGTGTTATAAAATAATATATTGTGGATGTCCACTGCATCAAGGATAATCATAACCTCCATAACCTCCACCTTTATAACATTATTCTTGTAACCTTTCACTTCCATAAACTTCTCCATTATATTTATGTTAATGTCATGTTTATGACTAAACTTTTGTATGCCTCTATGTTACACTATAAATAGAGGCATAAGAATTCATATTGTAGACACTTGAAAATTTGGTGAAGACTTGGAATAATAAGAAAAACTTTTATGTCTTGTCTCCCTATTTCTATTGTTTCATCTTCTATATTTCTTGTCTTATTTTGCTTTAGTTTTACAATAACAAAGACTTATTTGACACATTTTATTCAATTTTCTCTAAAAGCTCTAACAATCGTTTTTCTTTACTATCTCAAACCCTCCACCCTGTTAGGGTTTTGCCCTGATTTTCTTACCATAATTTAAGATTTATTTTTCCTTAAAGAAAAGACAAAACATTACCATAAATGTTTTTACTTTTCCTGAAAGGAAAATATAATATTCTTTCATATTTGGTTTATTCTTTCCTTTTAGGAAAATATTTTGGAGTAGCTAGTTTTTTTCTAGTAGGAAAGGTTCTAGGATTCTATAAATATAAGTTTGTTTCTTCTAACACAATAACAATAGTATCCACAATGTAGTCATTTAGAGAGTTTTGTTTATGGGGAGATTTTCTCTCTACAGTTTTTATGTTTTTATTAGTTTTTAATTATGTGGGTCAATTGGTCCCATCATATAATAATATTATGTCTTTTAGTATAGTTTTATGTGTTGTCTGATTTATCAATCATATTATTTGCAATTGTAAGCTCCGCATGACGCCCTAATCACCCTTCGTAACCCAACACCCCCTCTCCCCCCCCCCCCCCAAAAAATAAAAAAAAATAAAAAAAAAATAAAAATGCAGCAACCATTCCTAGAACATATCAACTGATCTCTTCATCTCCTCATCCGGGTATGGCAGGTTCCTTTCTATTTCTTCTTCATTTCTATAATAATCTTTCTTTTGTCAATTGATTTATTTTTGATTTTTGCGATTCGGAAAAAATAAATAAATTTAACACTTCCTCCCATTCTCTTCAATAAAAATAGAGTGAAATTTTTCGTCATGCTTTCTCTCTACATCAGTTTTCCTCTAATCTTAAAGAATTCATGGCTGAATGTGCGAGCTATTTGTGTTGTGGAGGTTCTAAAGCAATCTTTCTTTAACTAATGAACTTTCATACCATTTTGTTTATAGTACAATGTGCAAGCTATTTGTGTTGTTTACTATTGATTTTCTGTGTGCATATCAATAATTTTTCTGAATTTAGATACTTAAGTACAAGCCCATAAGAAGTATTGCAAATTCTATGTCAGTGTCCCTTTTAGTTTTATGTTAATTAGATGTCTCCTCTCTTTTTTTTCCATCTAACAAAGTGCACAGTACTTTGTTTCATCTATCCTAACTCAGTTTAAGAATTGATGCACCTAAAATTATGTGAAAGTATGCTTGAAGCAATTGAAAAATCAATATATTTGAAGAATTTTAGCACAACTAATATGTTTAATGAAATTCCCCAGTTGAAAGGTTCCAGTAAGTTTGTTAAATGGCGTATTGTTATACAAGTACCACACTGTTTTGCTATTATATGAATATGTAGAGACAGATAGAGTGTAACACTGTAGAGGGAAGAAAAATCCTTACTAATGAGGAGTCTGCCAAAAAATCTAAATTGATGTTGAAATATGAAGAGTTGATAAAATAGGAGGAGATCTCGTGGAGACAAAAATCAAGGGCTCTATGGCTGAAGGAAGGTGATAAGAATACTAAATTCTTTCACAAGATAGCAAATGCACATCAGAGATACAACAACATTGATCAGCTCATGATACAGAGAGAATTGAAGCAAGAGCTAAGTTGAATTAAAGGGGAAATTGTTGAATATTATAAAATGTTGTATAAGGAATCATCTCAGTGGAGACCTGAGTACATAAATGTGCAATGTCCTTTCCTAAGAGAAGAAGATTGTGAGAAATATAGGAAAATAATATTATTGAATTGTTGTGTTGTTAACATTATTACATTGAGACCCTATTTATAGACCCTAGAATACAATCTTTTACCAAGTAGGATACTATTTAGTATTCCTATTTCTATTTCTATTACTATTCCTATTCTAATAGGATTGTATAAACCTATCCTATTCTAATAGGATTGTATAAACATATTCCTATTTTAATAGGATTGTATAAACCTATTCCTATTCTAACAAAGATAATCAGGCTCTGCAAAGCAACTTTGAGGAAAGTGAAGTGCTTAGATGTTTGAAGTTGTGTGCAGTTGACAAAGCAGCAGGTCCAGGTGGTTTTACTATGGTTTTTTTTATTAAATGTTGGGATGTGGTAAAACAAGACATATGGATTCCTTTCAAAACTTCTATGAACATGAAGTTTTTGAGAAGAGTTTTAATGCAACTTTTATAGCTCTTATACCCAAAAAGAAAGGTGCCAAGGAGTTGAGGGACTTCAGGCCAATTAGTCTAATTGGTAGCATCTACAAACTTTTCTCCAAAGTTCTGACTGAATAGTTGAAAAGGGTGGTGGACAAGTTGGTAGACTCACAACAAATGACTTTTGTTAAAGGGAGACAAATAATGGATTCAATTTTGATTGCAAATGAAGCAGTTGACTCTAGAAATAACCAAAAGAAGCCAGGTGTCCTATGTAAGTTGGATATAGAGAAAGCTTATGACCATGTTAACTGGAAATACTTAGTGAAGATGTTGAATCTGATGGGTTTTGGGCAGAAATGGTTGAAGTGGATAAAATTTTGCATATCAACTGTTAGATTCTCAATACTCATCAATGGTAACCCTGCAGGTTTCTTTCAAACCCAAAGAGGTCTCAGGCAAGGTGCTCCCTTGTCACCTTTTTCGTTTGTGATCACTATAGAGGGTTTAAACAACATGATAAAACTGCTAACTTGAGAGGCTGGTTAAGAGGTTTTGATGTGGCCAAAGAAGGTGTTGAGAGACTAGAAGTGATACACTTGCAATATGCAGATGATACCCTGATTTTCTATGATACTGAGGAGGAACAACTGAAGTATCTAAAACTGATTCTGATCTTATTTGAAGGTATATCTGGTTTGCATATCAATTGAAGGAATAGTGTAATGTATCCTATAAATGAAATAAACAACATGTGTTGTTTAACATCAATTCTAGGTGGTGAGATAGGAGATCTGCCTACTATATACTTGGAAATGCCTTTGGGGGACAAATCCAAGCCCATAGACATATGGAGTAGCGTGGTTGAGAAGTGTGAGAAGAAATTGGCCAAGTGGAAGTCTTAGTACTGACCCTTATTAACTCAGTACTTAATGCTTTGCCAACCTATATAATGTCTTTGTTTCCTATCCCAACTAAGGTCACTAAAAGGTTGGATTGTATCAGGAGGAATTTTTTGTGGCAAGGCAACAAAGAAAAGAAAAGCTTCCATTTGGTTAAATGGGAGGAAGTCATGACAAGCAAGAAAAATAGAGGTCTAGGAATAAAAAATCTGAAATTGCAAAGCAAGACTCTTAGTATGAAGTGGTTGTGGAAGTATGCAAACAACAACCAGATGCTATGGAGGAAAGTAATTGGAGCTAAATATGAAGAAAAGGACAACTAGATAACTAAAGAAGTAACCACTCCTTAAGGGGTTAGCCTCTGGAGGTCCATCAGAATCTTGTGGATAACTTGAAGGCAAAAGTAATAGATGGGAGTAAGACCAGATTTTGAAAGGACATTTGGCATGAGAAAGGCAACATGGAAGATCTCTTTCCAGACATCTACAACCTAATCATGTTTCAACAGTGCACTATAGCAAATCTATGGTCACCAAAAGGATGTAATTTCACTTTCAGAAGAAATCTTAATGATTGGGAAATAATGAGCTAAATTTTTAAACACTGTGGACACTTTCGCTGGACTATAGACAGCCATATGAGAGGGTAAATTGTGGTGGACAGGAGATGACAAGGGAGTGTTAAAAGTCAACAAAGCCTATAAGATGATGGATCAGACAGATCAACGGCGCTCAAGTTGGCCTTGGAAGCAAATATAGAAGGGTAAAATCCCTCACAAAGTTTCCTTTTTTGTCTGGTCAATGGCTAAGGAAGCAGTTCTTACATAGGACAGTGTTATGAAGAGGGGGATTACCTTGTGTTTCAGGTGTTTCCTATGTGGTGAAACATCTGAGGCTATTAACCATCAGTTTTTACGTTGCAAGTACACCCATCATCTATGGAAAATATTCCTAAGTCTCAAAGGCATTTCCTGGACTATGCCTAGGAAGGTGGCTGAGGCATTACTATGCTGGGAGGAAGAAGGTGTACATGCTAAGGACAAAGGTAGATTGAGAGTTATTCTGGAGGCAATCTGGTGGGCTGTTTGGAAAGAAAGGAATTCAAGATGTTTTGAGAGCATATAGAACAATGTGCAGAAAGTTAAACTACACTGCATTTTACTTGGTCTTTTGGTGTAATCATTATACTCTAATGACACTGTGACTATTATTGATGTGCTAGACTCAATTTAGACATAGAGAAGTGAAATCGGGAGTACACTTGTATATAAGATTACAATACAACCCATGGATTGTTTTGTGATATAATACAAAGTTACCAAGTTCAAAAAAAAGATAGAGGTGTACACTGCTATAATCTATACATATTTAATGAGTGAGAATCTTATTCTTGGTGATCTTCTCTCGAAGAGGAAAAATCATAATTCATACCCTATGTTTCTATTAGTATAAAGCAAAGCTTTAATACTACTTTTTGTAAGAAGAAATTCCTCTTAGTCTTTGCAGTAGAAAATTAGTTACATGATTCTCTACTTTTATTCTTAGCTTGATAAATCATGTGCTTTTATATCTCTTCTTGCACAAAGGATTTTTTTGTGTGTGAAAGAAGTAACTCATCTTCAAATTACTAGATTTTTCTTTCCAATGTAGCTATTTTCTTCTATTCCATATTGACCTTACAAAACAATACATTCCCTCGCTGTAAAATTTATAGGTATACTTGTCTTTTTAAAGATTAGGACGTGCTTGCTTTCCCCCTTATCATTGAAGTTGAAGAATTTTTGCTCTACTTGCACAATGTAACTTTCAACGAAGGGGACTCAATTGAATTCATTTTCTATAATTTAGGTTTGCCCTGTTAGAGCAACAAAATTAGGTTTGTGTCAATATCATATTTTAGAATCTCATTGTCGTTTTTATTGTATCTTCATTTAGATGATCCGGGGAGGTATGCTTTTTGCTCACTCTTTTCTCCTTTTGCAATTTTGAGTCTCTGCATTACAAAATACTAGAGATGTTTACTCTTTTTATGGACTTCATCTATGTGATATTAATTGGCAGCCTCTAGGTGGGTATGTATTGTGATGTGAAGAAGTGTCTGGCAGAGAAGCATGGAGCTCTGTTAATGAACTGAAGCAAAAGGAAGAGTTGAGAATTCGTCTGATGGAAAAAGATGTTAGGCTTCAAATAGTGTATGGCGTGCAAGCTAAGCATTCTTTTTTTTGGGCTGTGCTTTCGAAGAATCTGTTGGCAACAAATTACTTAAGTTTTGGGGATATGGTGACACGTAATTGCTCCAAATGAGTCATCACAATGAAGTGTGGACTACAAAGCCATTGGATTACTGAGGAGGCTCTTGGAACTTTTGGATACTGTGGAAGACTATTAGAAGATTATGGCCCCAATTCAAAGGCAACATCTCACTAAAGGTGGAAAATGGTAGGAAAATTGATTTTTGGAATGAACATTGGATTGGGGATGAAAGCCTGCAATCACTCTTCCCAGACCTGTTTATGCTCACCACTCAAAACAAGGCCACAATCTCACAGCTATGGAGTCCTCGGGGTTGTAATCTCATTTTTAGGAGAGCTTTGAATGATTGGGAAATCGAGAGGGTCATTAATCTGTTTCAGATCCTCAATGCCTTCCCAGGCACCTCTACTGAACCTGATAAGCCTATTTGGAGATGGCAAAGCAAAGGTGTGTTTACAGTAAAGTCATGTTACTGCAGATACAATATTGGCCAACCACAGATCAGAAACTGGCCATGGAAGTTAATATGGAAGATAAAAATACCATTGAAGATCTCATGTTTTGCCTGGTTAGTGTGCAAAAGGGCCTGCTTAACACATGAAGTGCTTCAAAAGAAAAGCAGACAATTATGCTCAAGATGCTTTATGTGTGCTCAAGATGCAGAAGTTAATAGTCACTTATTCCTTCATTGCAAAGTAGCTACAAGCTTGTGGAACATGTTTCTTGGTCTTCTTGGTGTATGCTGGGCAATTTCAAAGTCCACTAAGGATTTGCTCTACAGCTGGAAGGAGATAGGAAGAAGGGAGTCAAATGAAGATTGGTGGGAATTAATCCCAGCCTGCATCTGGTGGTCCCTATGGAAAGAAAGGAACGGAAGATGCTTTGAGGATAAGAGAAACAACATCCAGAAAATTAGAATGAATTGTCTTAGTCTTTTGTACTTTTGGTGTAAACAAGATATGATGGGGGATATAGAACTTTTTGATGACTTCATAGGTAATTTGTAATCTCCCATAGGGTAGTTTGATATGCTCTGATGAGATTGTAAGTGACCTATGCTCATCATTTATTTGATGATATGCCTTTTGTGAATACACAGTTACCTTTATCTCAAAAAAAATTGCTCCAAAGGTAGTTCCGTAGCCTCATATCATCAGTATCTTATTCAACCTTTTCTCAAATAATTACCATATCAATACAGAGCAACAAACCTGCCAAAGTTGCATGAATCACTTCATAAGCTCGCACTCTAAATTATTCTTTTATATATATATATATATATACACACACTCAAGTTACCTTTTAAATTTAATGCTTTGCGATATCACTATTGAACATTATGACTGGACTCTTTTGCCTAACTGTGATCAATTATCTCTCAGCTTTACATACAACACATCTTTTTTAAATAGAGTTATTAAACTACTAACAAGTTAATAAAGCATATTATTTGGAAAATGGAACTTCATTGTTTCTCAACCCTTGAGACTATTCACGCTTTATTTCAATTCTTTTGTTGCTTGAAATGCCTTTTGCAATTGCTGGCTAAGTTGCTCAAACTCTTCACTTTTGGTGCCACACCCATGTCGACACAACATGGGTGTGGGTGTGGGATCTGTGTCCGATTTGGTCAATTGATTTTGGGTACTTTGACCAAAACCGATGGGAAAAGTTTGGACAGTTTTAATGATTTCTGTAGTCAATACAAAAGCTATGGTGAAGTTGAAGAAAATGAAATACCTTTTATATAGAAATATCCATGTCACTCCTTTTCCTTTAATCTCCTTCTAGGATTCTCCTCAAGTTCTCCACATAATATCTGATAATTTAGGTTTAATAACTCTATTTTAAGATATTTTTATTATTTTTTAGGCGAATCCCCGCACCTGTGCCCATACATGGATCCATATCTCCAAATCTTAAAAATTAGATCATGAAGGATCCGACCTCTAAATCTGCATCCGAATTGGACACCCGCACCCAAGTCCAACCAACTTAAATTGCTGGTTCACTTCCCAGTAAAAAGATGAAATTAAAATACCTCGAAAATCTATCTTAGAACTCTCCAGAGACCATGAGTACATATGTCGCACGATAAGTAAGATGATTTTTTTCTGTTGCTATTTCGCAAATGAACAACTCAAAGATTTGCGTTGTTTCTCATTTTTTCTACAATGTTCATTTCTCGACTTTAATACTAATCTATTGAAGTGAGGCTCTATCTGTACGTGCGTGTACACACTCGTGAACACACGTGTCTGTGTGTTGGAAAACTAAATGTTATAGCTATTAGTTGACCAAAATCATTGAAGAGCTATTGAGTGCTATATAAGACGTAAATTTCATTTAGTTGTTAGCCTTTTTTAGGTGGACTTTAGACTTAGTATAAATGAGGCTACAATGAAGGGGAAACTCACCTGCCTTTGCTTAGTAGACACAACACATTCTTCTGCATGCTATTGGGAAGTATCTGGCTTATGTGTCAGTGGTATTATAAATTACCATGTGTGTCGATATTCTACTTTAGTGCAATTTCAAACAAGTATGTCATATTAAGAGGAAATACTAAAGATGAGGAGAAAACAAATACGTCTGACTTGTCCTATTTACAGGGGATGAGTAGTGTCTGCACACTTTTGTTGAGAGGAGTTGTGCCTTTTCTAGCGTCATATCAAAGGACTGCGTCTGAAAATGCATCTAGAAGTTGGATTACGGGATTCCTCACTGTTCTTGCAGTAGGTTGATATCTTA